GGGATGGGACAGGGCGTGCCGAGGAGCTCTGGGGGAAAATTGGCTTCAGCTTGCAAGGATTGCAATGGCTTTGGAAGATCTGAGCAGATCTTCACATGTACAAGGAGGGGAGGTTCTGTGGGAAAATGCTATCAGGCCCGGCAGAGCTGTGGCAGGAAGGAAATTCCCCCGGCAGAGACGGCCATCGGCGCGAGGGCTCAGCTGTGTCAGGTTCAGGGGACTTCATAAATAACTCGGCCGTCCCCAGGGAGTCATTGCTAAGGTCGCTATTTTTTCCCTTGAACTTTCCAGATGAAGGAAGCAATAGCAGAAGCAATGGCACAGATTTGGCCAGAGATCAACTGTACTGACAACAGTCATAGAATTTAACTCAGAAGAAAAGTCCTTTGTGTTTGCTGGAGTTATCACCAGATGGGTCGAGCAGTTCAAGTAGCAATGTGGAGTTCTGCTCCAAAAATATTCCACATGTGCAAGATGATCAGAGCTGAACCTTGCCAGCAGATACAACCCACGGGAACTAATTCCACCGCTTAGACTGAGTTAAAAATGCAGGGCACCCATTAAAAATTAAAATGTTAAATAGTACCCTTCAACAAACTGCTGGGATCCAGAGGAAGAAGCAGCCCTGACTGCAGATGAAGGACAGAGAGCCTACAGAACACTAATTACCACTGTACTTACAGTGAATTGGGCCTGGTGGGTTTAATTACTTCTAGTTCAAGATCACTTGAGTTCAGGCTGGGCTGGGCAGCGCTGTTGGAGTTGAGGAAGCTGTTTACATTTGAAGAGATGACGGATTCCAGGCTGGAGTTGATGATACTGTTCCTGTTCTCCTCTAAAAAAAATAATAAAATAAAAATCAAACCCCAAGAATGATCAGCCACCACACACACACAGCTGCCACTGCACGCACAATAAAGAGTGTGCTGCTGCAGAGACATCGGGCGTTCCTGGGAGTAATCCCTGCCCGAACACAAACAGGGCAGCATCTCACCAGACCCCAGAACACAGGCACTTCATTTACAGAAATATCGTACATTAAACAGGTAGAAATACCAGGTACTCTTATTTTTTTCTTTTTTTTTCTTAAGATGCAGCTACATTTTAAATGAATACCATTTTTAGTCAGAAAATATTCTCAAGGCATTAATATTTTATATGCTCAAAGACATCCAAAGTACCACACAACCTGAAAAAAATCAAAATGCAAACTACCTAGATGAATGGATTTCTCCACGACTGAAATCAGCTGCCAAGGGACTATGCAGTTGTGTGACAGAGCAGGAGGGCAATTTTACAACATGAAAAGGACATTTCACTCCGTTAAAGTTTATCTCAGCAAAAAAATCCTTCAGCCTAGGTTTATATGTCAACTCCTATTGACCTGTCCTGGCCAGGTCTAAAAGAAGAAAGTGGCTGGGGTCTCCACTCCATTTCAGTTCAGCTCTTCTAAAATACAGAACAGCTCTGGGTCAGAAACTTGGCTTCATATCTGATCTGAAATCGTGCCTCACGCCAGCTGTGCTGCGCCGGGGAAATGCTGGCACTGCTCTGCTGACAATCCAGGTCTCTTACAGCTTCTTGTTTCCCTTCATCATATTCCATTGAGAAATTTTCCCCTTTTTTGTGTAACTTCAGCAGTGAGGAGTGAAAACACTACATATCCCAAAGTGATATCCACAGCATGAGCTCCCTCCTCAGCTCTACGCTGAATTACCTAAAATCACATTAATTCATTTTCTAAGATGCCTTTTCCGTGTAAGCAGTAATCGTAATTGTGAGAAGCAATTAGCATCAGTGATGGCACGGAAAGCAGCTCTACTGCAGAGAGCTGCTACTTCTGTGATATGTTTTCCTGAAAGATAGGCACCTGCTGGAAAACATGAGCCCCACTTCAATCATAAGTCTTTCAAAAATGATTTTTCCAGCGCACACTAATAGGATCAAATCACTACCAAAAACCACAGAGTAACAGGGAATCCCTTCTTCTCAATACCTTTCGGCTGTACATCTCTGCTTGTGCTGGAAGGAGGACGTGCAATGCTCATCCATATCCGGGACACATTTAAAGAAGGATAAAAGAGGAAGAGGAACTCCTGGGATCCAGGAGAAGTTAATCCTGAACATATAGCAGAAAGAAACTGCCTATATTGCCATAAAAGAGCTCGGCAGCAGTGCTGTCTCAGGCGCAGAGGAACACGGCATCGTGGCAAATCTTTGTCACTGCTTCAAAGAGCAAAGCCGACGTTAGCAAAAGGCTTGTGGGTGCTGGGGCAGAGCAGAGCCCAACTCTCCTTGTCACACTCCTTCACTGGAGCTGCTGCATTCTCCTGGTACCTGGGCAAAATCAGTGCCTACATGGCAGCAAGACAGGGATAAAACTTGGTTTAGCTCAGGTTCAGCTTATCTTCCAGAGATGAGCCAAAGCCAAGGACGCGTTAACTACGTTGATGTCAACAGGTTCCTGAAGTTGGGTTTCATTAATCTCAATCTCCAATTAGCCACCAAGGGAACGAGCAGCACATACGCTTCTCTGTCCCCAGCTTTGTTCCTCCAGTGTGCCTAGCTGGATGTTTTTGCCCAACCAGGGCTTCCAACTCATCACCATTTGACAGGCCAAAAGGAAAATACAAACAATCTCGTCAGCTTTGAGCCGTATGGTGGTTCAAACAACAGCCACGCTCTCCCTAAACCAACTCAGAAAAGCTCATAAAGAAGAGTGATTTCTCCAGAAGAAGGTCCTCTGATACCAAGCTATGAGTTCACAAAAGCCCACCTGGGACTCAGAAGGCATAAGCACTTTGTGATGAAAAAGGTTATCCAGGCAGAAGGTAAGAAGAGGCAAAAGCAAAGCAAAGCAGAGCGCAGACCTCCACAAGTACCAGCAGGCAGAGGTGGGAGCCAGCAGATGAAATAAGAGAGAAATTAAACTGCCTACAGACCGAAAAACCCCCGAAAGGCCAATCCACATCCCTCCCCTGTCTTGGTGTCTGCCAGAGAGGTTCTCAGCCATGCTGTGCCAGGCCACCTCCGCAGCGGGGACAGGGACCGCCCGGGCTGAGCCCCGCCGCACCCACCGGCCGCACCGCGGGCTGGGAGGAGCGCGGAGCTGAGCCCCTGGCGTGTGGTCTAACACCACATCTTATTATTTCCAAACATTTTCTGCCCGAGGCCGAAGTCCAAAAATAAGCTCCGTAAGCCTAACAAATCAGTGTCAATTGTCTGCCTAAGCTCAGAGCTTGCTA